GTGCCGTGGTCTACACGGAAGAACATCATCCTGAATTGTGACTTCTTTTTTTTTTTTTTTTGGCAAAGATTTTCTTCGCAAAGCCCGCTTCAAACTTCAAGTGAAGTGAGACAACTTTACGACGCCTCAAAGATCGTTTCAAATCGATCCAGACTCTTATAGGATAGGCCAGAACGGCTTCTTGCCCGCTCCAAACCCTCACCCCTGGGATATCAAGGAATCTCGATCTCATACTAAGCCTCCACAGAGACCGGTGGTAATCGGTGCTTGTCCGTGCTGATTGTTACTGATTGGTGCTTTAAAAAAAAGGCCAGATCGGCTGCTTCCCCGCTTTGAACCTTCACCCCTAGAACATCCAGGCATCCCTCAATACTAAGACTCCACAAAAATCGGTGCTAGTCGGTCCCGATTGGTGCTGTCTGGTGCTTATCGGAAAAGCTCCTATTCGAACTAACGGGCCAGGGTGCTTGAGACATTTCAGAAGCATCACCGAAATTCTAGAATGAAGTAGATCCGACAGAATCAGAAATCCGCAGTTTAACATCCAAGAGAGTGCAGGAATCGGCGGAGTGAGGACGGAAGTAGACTAAAACCTTCCGATCTTGCCGCCGCTATCAACGCTTCCGATCTTAACGCCCATACACGCGCGAGTACAATATTCGCGACGCATACTAGCGTACGGGGAATCGTACGCGATACAGGGTTAAGCAAGTAAGAGCAGGGTTGGAAGTTATCGAAGCGTACGAGAGTCATGGCGACAATTCGCTGAGGGAGCGCACGAGCAGACGCAACCTTGGCGGAACAGCCAAGCGGGGTGAGGGCGAGAAAGCTGCTGCGAGGTGCAACGCCGACAAGCATATGCGAAATTGTTTTAGCACCAACGCTCGGGTCTTATACGAGCATACTTGGATGGGACGGCTTGCTCGCTCGCAGCTGGGGCGGGCTGGTCTGAGGGGAACCGCAGAGGAATGTGAGAATTCGAGATCGACGAGGGAGGGAAGTGTGGAAAAGCATATCCGAGGTTCAGTGGAAACGGGAGACCTGTGTAAAGTGGAGATTCCCGCGTGTTGCAAAAAGGTCAAGTACGGTTGAACAAGCTAGAAATGGATGCGAATGCGAATGACTGCCTCGAGCTCTCCGCCATGGCCTGGACAGCTCGCTTCGTGAAGCTCCCCTATCAGTTCGCTTCGTTAAGGACACCAATGGCATCGCCTTTACTTCCTCTATCGGGGGATACGGCTTACACCCGATTTCAAGGCTGTTTTTCAAGATGCTATTTCTACGTCCCTTGGGATCACTTCAAGCTTCACGGTTTCATCGCCAGTTCTCTTTACAAGTATCCTGTCTAACGAGTGCTCTACACAGTTTATCACGTCTAACTTCATGGTGTTCCCAAGGAATGACCCCAAGGTTTCGACCTCGAGATCTCAACATATTCAGCAAGAGCTTTGGTCAGAGGTCAATCTCCGCTATATATTCTCGGTGCTCAGACAAGCAGCTCGTACATTGGCCTTCACAGCCTTCCTTCGTCAGAGCTTTACATCTCCGTTACTGCTTTTCTGTCATCCTTGCACCATGCCTCCTAAAGGAAGCAAGAAGACCCCTGTGGATGTGCCTGACGCCTCGGATCCGCTGCTTCCTTCTGGTGATTCTGCGTCAGGGACGCCAAATGGGAAAATCACAGAACAAGCTACAGGTGGTTCAGGCCTTTCAGTCGCTGAGAAGGCTGCGATGTCATCGAACAAGCAGCAAGATGATAGACTTTATTGATGATGACTCGGACGATGAACTGGATCTGGACATCACTTGCGACTTACTTACACGGATTCGCTACACTGCTATCCTGCTGGTAACTTTTTTCCTGCAACCGGAGCTGGGCTCTGTCATCTTGACGGTGCGAACGCTGTTGAAGAAAGTGTGGTCATCTGCTCTTTCGCCTGGTGCTGCTGACGGGGCCAAGATCCAGACTCTGCAGCCGGCCTTCGTGGCCAGGACCAAGTACTGCCGTCTTCAGCTGTCCCTCCTGCGTGAAGACGACATTGACACTGTTCGTCAGAAGGTGGTGGATTACCAGAGATCCGGCAATAGCAAGAAGATTCCGCTCACCTGGCTGTTCACGGAGGACGCAGATTTCTTGAAAGAGAAGTTGGCAAATCCGCATGCTATTGAGGTTGTGTTTAAGTACATCACTGCTAACATCTCACCTGATATCTTGAAGGAATGCCTGGCGGTGTACAAGCTGAAAGTCAAGCAGCGGTCAATCTTCAAAGCGGCGAAATGCTTCCACCGTGTTCTCCACCCAGTGACTGGGGCTGACACGGACACAATCAAGGGGCTGGTTTACCCTTTCCCTGAGGATCAGAATCGCCGCTGAAAGCAGATCATCACGGATCCACTTGACCGTAGCAAGACTCTGCTGATCCACTACCCTTTGCTATGCTGTTCTCTCTGCGGTGGACAGCACTATGATAAGAATCATGATGCATTCATCACAGAGAGGCAATGTAACATAGGGAAGTGGAATCTTACCCTGGGGAGGGTGCACAGGATTAACGGTAACTGCACGGCTTTGCTGCACGCTGACTCCGCTTCTTCTCGTACCTTCCCTTTTTTACCATCTGCTAATGCTTCGCTTTCATGTCGCAGCTCCCTCTCTGCGCACCTCGCCGCTAGTCACACCGCTGCTTTAGGATCCTGCCATTGCTTTTTTCTCCACCGGCTGCAACCGCGAGGAATGGATCTGCACTCAGATCGGCTGCGGGAAGGCAAAGGGGAAGTCTTTATGACGGCGGCAGATCATGTGGCTGCGGCCAACCACCTGATCCAGCTGGAAAAGATCGGCACCGCGACTCGTGTCACCATGGACAAGGCGGTCCTGGCGCCTCTAAAGAAGGACTACGGGATGTAGCAGATCAGCGGCTTCTGGATTGGCTGGCAACAGCAGCAATGTCAGCGTGTATGGTGTCGGTGTCGGTTCTCTGCTCAGTGACTTTCCTCAGCCTGTGGATGCGTAAGGGCTGCCAGGCGGTGATTAAATGAATAAACGGAACACCATCTCTCTCGCGGGCCTTAATGTTAACGGCCTCGGCAATAGGGATAAGCGTAGCTTTGTAACTGACTGGATTAAAACTGCAGCAGACGTCAACATTCTCTCTGACACAAGGATCTCGTCCACTCACAGTTATTGGAAATCACTTAGGAATTACACGGTAGTAGCCTCCACACCAACCGCGAGAGGTGGCGGAGTAGCTATAGTCCTAGGTAACCCGAGCTTACAGTTACGGAACACAGTGACTCACCCCTCAGGCAGACTGATCAAGACGGAGGTAGTAGGTAGAGGACTTACAATAGTTTTACTGGCGACTTACTTCCCGGCGTCGCCGTCGGCGAGAGCGGTTTTTATCAGGGAGGTGGTGGGTCCGACGGTAGACCTCCTAGACCCTGGAGATCACCTTTTAATTGTCGGAGATCTGAACATCATTGATGAACCGTACCTTGACACGACGTCTGGCTCTGGCTCGGCGGCGGAGAACGACAAACTCTGCAGACGCTGCGGAGTCTTCCGTCCTTCTGACGCCTTCCGTGCTTTACATCCGACCAAGAGAGAATATACCTTCTTCTTGCATGCGCAGCAGTCCAGCACTCGGATAGACAGGGCTTTGGTGTCGCAGTCACTGCTTCCGTGGTTGGTTTCAGCTGCTCATCTCTCACCAGAGGATCCGATTTCTGACCATGGGTTCGCGATCAGGGTGGCCTTCCGTTGCAGTAAGCAGGCGAAGTTGGGTCCGGGTCTCTGGAGACTCCCTGCGTCGCTGCTGGGCCGTCCTGGTGTTCGGAAGGTGGTGGAAGCAGCGGTCATGCAGGCGGGTGATGACTTTGGGCTGCTCCTGGCGCGCCTCAATGCCGGTCTGAAAGCTTACGCGAAGGAAGAGGGAAAGAGGGTTAAGGCTACCATGCTGCATCTCACACGGTCAGTGGCCCAGCTGAAGCAGGCGATGATGGGGGACCCTTACTGCACACGGATAAGAGAGCAGTTAGCAATCAAGGAGGCGCAGTTGAAGGATTATCAGGCCTCACGACGAGATAGACAGCATCTAATGGCGGGGTACCAATACGAACTAAAGGGGGAGGTGGCGTCGAAGCGCCTGTCGGGCAAAATCAAGGAGAGGAAACGGCGTACGCAGATCGAGGAGCTCTGTGTGAACGGCGTGGTGATCAACAATCCTGAACAGATTCTGCGAGCGGCGTCCGATTTCTTCAGTGATATTTTTGGGAAGGACAAGCAATCTCACCCGGCGGAATGGCGGCCAGCACCTGGGAAGAGGCTGCCGATCGCGGTTGCAGAAGGTCTGTCGGCGGAATGGTCGGAGGACGAGGTCAAGAGCGCTTTCAAAGAAATGGCGTGCAATAAGTCGCCGGGGCTGGATGGCTTGCCGAAAGAGCTTTTCGAGCTTCACTGGGATGTTCTTGGCGGGAGTTTCATGAGGCTCGCGGCAGATTTCTCCGCGTCGGCGTCTCTATCTGCGGACATCAAGGAAGCAGTTACTATCTTGCTTTTCAAGAAAGGAGATAAAAATTAGTTGAACAACTATCGACCAATAACGCTTCTCAATTTCGCGTACAAAGTTCTGGCGAGGGTGGTCGCGGATCGAATGAAGCGGGTACTCCACCTGGTCATTTCGGAGGAGCAGTACGGCTTTATTCCGGGCAGGAAAATTTCGGACGCCATCAGTCTGGTAGCGGATGTGATCGAAGCAGCGCGTAACAAAAAAGAGGACTGGTATTTGCTTCTGGTGGACTTCAAGAAGGCTTTTGACTCTGTCTCCAGGAGCTTCCTCTTTGATGTGCTCCGCAAGATGGGTTTCCCGGCGCAGTTCGTCAAATGGGTGGAGGGCCTGCATAAGGACACACGCACAAGACTGTTAATTAACGGATGGAAAGGAGAAGCGCTGGAGGTGGTTTCAGGTGTCAGGCAAGGCTGTCCACTTGCGCCTTACCTCTTCCTTTGCGCGGTGGAGCCTCTTGCGCAACTGGCGGTGAAGAGGAAGCTGGGTTTCGAGGATGATCTGCGGCTGGGGCGTCGGTTGGCTTACCTGGGGTACGCTGATGACACTACGCTGCTGCTGGAGGGGAAGTCGCAGCTGGCCAAGGCGGAGAAACTGCTGGAAGATTTTGAGGGGATGTCAGGGCTTGCAACAAACAAAGATAAATCGGTGGTGATGCCCCTGGGGAAGAATCTCGGCGAAACCACCTGGCGGACAGATGGTTTCAAATGGGCGGAAGCAGATGAAGCACAACGGCTGTTAGGGGTCTGTATCACAGCCTCCGGGAACGGCAAAGTCACATGGGAAAAAGCGACGGTGAGGATTCTGGTGGAACTCACAAAATGGGAATCGGTTTACCTCACGCTTACCGCGCGGGCCGTAGTCATCAACGACCCCGATCATCGCGTTTCAGGCGATCGTCTACCCCCCTGCGTCTGATGCCTGGAGAAAGATCATGAAGCTGATTCACAACTTCATCTCAGGGAACAGGGCCACGGCGGAAGGGTGTTTCTTACTCTGGGGGAAGGATCTGATTTTTGCTGCTCGTGCTGAAGGAGGAGTCGGGGTCCGGGACCCGGAGATTTTGATGGCGTGTCTGGCGGCACGGCGAATTGGCGGCCTGCTGATGGAGACGAATCTGCAGAAAAAGGGGTTGATGCTGAAGGCGGCAGACTTACCCATGGGTCTGGACACCTTCATGGCGCATGAGAGATTGCTGAAGCACTGGCCGGGGGAAAGCATTAGATGGAAGCAGACGTGCGAGCTGTTCATGCGCTCCCCGCTCTCCATCTCGCCGGAACCGGTCGGTCTCTCAGGCGGAGGTCGCTGGTGAACGGGTGATTTTTAATACTCGCATACTGTTGAACGGCACGAATCCCGTGGGGGGGCAGAAGGATGCTAAAAAACTGTGGGACGTCAGGCTGGGAGATTTGGTCATGGAGGGCACTGAAGGGGGAAAAGCTTTTAAGTCGAAAGAACTGCTAGCGACATGGCTGGGAGGTGCGGGGCAGGCTAGGATGGCGCTGAAGGCCATTGCATCAATCCCATCTGGCTGGAAGGAGAAACTACTACTTCCCAGTGAGGAGGCTCTCACAGAAGTGACCGGGGGGGGGGGTCCCGGCTCCCTCACAGAGGAGGAGAGGGGTGGTTTATCAGCAGGGGGCTGCTCTCCTCCGCGCGCCCATTTTCGGGAAAGAAACAGTGTTACCTATCAGGATTTTGCGGAAGGCCTGGGGGAAAAGGGCGCCAACAGTGCAGCGAAGGGAGAAGTGGGCCAGCAGATGGGGTGGCAAAATCGATTGGAAGCGGGCAGTTAAAGTCAGGGACTCTCTGGCCATCCCGAGCAGACCTCGGGACGTCCTGATTCGTATTCACAATTTCAATCTTCAAGTGGGGGAGCGGGTGGCTTTCCTCAGCTCAAAACCTAAGTGTCCGCACTGTGGAGAAGCAGAAACGCTCAAGCATTGCCTGTTTGACTGCCCGAAGATTCAGCCAGTTGTTCTGGCGCTGAAGAAAGCACTGCGCATGATAAACCCCTCACGCACAGTGACCTCACTGGGGGACTTGCTCTTCAAACGGACGGCTTCCAGCTCAGCTTTTCCAGAAGCGACGATTGCTGCAATTGGCTTTCATCAATTGTGGGTGGAGCGGTGTGATGCTGTTTTCCGGGATCGGCAGTTTCGGGCGAAACGTGCTCTCAGGAGGATTGAGGTGGCTTTCCGGCTGCATGCGAGGATTTTCTTGAAACATATGGGGGAGAAACCTCGGAAGAGGGGGAACGACAGCAATGTCTCCGCCACGTGGAGTGCTTTCAGTCAGGAGCTCAAGCTTTTGGACCGTGTCAGGGACAGGTCCAGCAACAAATGGTCGTGGAAACCTGGTTTCGCGGCAATCTGGCGTCCGAAGGCTGCAGTTCGTTAGGGCCTAGGCCGTTTGGTTTTGGGGCAAGAACTCTCTCTTAGCCCCTTTGCACAGTTACGACTGTCTTTGGTTTGTACACTTGCTCTCCGGTGTATATATCAATTACCAAAAAAAAAAAAAAAAAAAAAAAGCTAGAAATGGATGCCATAGGGTGCGAGAAGGTGGAGAGTATGGTGACTGAGGTTTATCAGACGTCGGATCAATGGCGTGGCTTCGTAAGGATAAGCACTACTACCTAACCGTTCGATAACAACCATAGACCATTTTGCCATGTCTATGACCCTACCCAACCGTAGTGAACGGCTCTCAGCCCTACGACCTCCGTGGATCTTAGTGTGAAGAATGGACGATTGCATGGCACCACATGCCGACTGTTGGAAACTCTGAAAAGTCACGCTTCGAGGGCTGGCTTTGAGAGGGAAAGGATATCTCTCTAAAGAGTCATCCTCCAATGCAATGGCACACTACTTAGAGATCAAAAAATGTTTTTTTCATAGATGGCATTGCGTTTGTCATTTCCATCATATTATTTTAGGGAATGATAACATATTGCAAAACAAAGAGTGAAGATGCAGTACTCAAAATGGCAAGTTTAACTACAAAGACCATATAGGCTAGTAGCTCCAAAACAGGACCCACAATCATGAGCGAGAGCTATCTTATATAATCACTTTGACATCTGTCACTCGCACCCATCACCACCACCCAGAAGCCCATTGAAACACCTACGACCACCAAGAGAGCAGGCCGAGCCCATCACCATTAATATCACCCTGCATACATGCAACGCAGAGCAAAATCTGCATTAAGGCCATCTTGCACTGTATTGACCACACTGAGAAAAACTTAGAGGTAAAGGATATCACACATGGGTCACGCTATGGTGTGGAGGAACGAGTCAAGTTTATGAGGCACCTTGAAAAGCATCTTAAGGTAGTGGGTA